GGCTTGAAGGCTAGCCAGCTGCTCTTCCATGCATTTCTCAAAGCTCTGGGGGATGTAGTGTCTTCTGGAGGACCTCATGAGCTGGAACTAGGGGGTGGGGATACCTCACAGTAGGAAGGGGGTTCAGATGATGATAAGCTGAAAAAGAAAGATACAAACCTAAAACAAAACCCAAAGACCACAGACGTGAAGAGGAGCCCCCACACTCTCCCAACCCAAGCACGAGTCACGGCCACTTCAGGAGAGGACGGAGATGCATTCTTTTCTTCTTTGGATCCTCTCTCACTTCCTGGTTTTTGGTAACTTAATAAAAGTTTAGAACTCAACTAAATTATTTTTTCAGATTATGCATTCTCATTTAATTATGTTTACCATTTGTGTTATATTTTGGAATAAAATACACCTGTGACTTTTTTTTTTCAAATTGCGGGTTGTAAAATCAATTTAATGTTTTCTGACAATCATGAACAAAAAAGAAACAGAACAAAAGAGAAAATATTAAGGCATTTCATGCACAGAATAAGGGTACTCATTGTTTTGTGAAATTTTCTTTCCATATACAATGAAACACAATAAAATACTCAACCATTCTTTAGATTTAACATGATTTCAAAGTTCATATGGTAGACAAGTTTCTATTATGTCTACTTTTAACTTCATACTTGATTCCTATCTCAGTTGGGGCATACAGGCAAGCCTTGCTTTCTAGAAGGGCTCACACACGCTATTTCTTCTCTGGGCCTTGCCAACCCAAAATGCTTTTGTTTATTTCTTTGACAATGAAAATATAACTTAAAAAATATAAAATAATTTTTTCACAGTCTTTTCCCCTGAAAACACTGCATTCTTTAATCCACTGTCTTCTGGTATTAGTATTGTGGAGAACTCTAGGATTTCATTTTCCGATTTTTTGATCACCATTTTTGCGTGCTCATGCGTACCCGTGGCAGAGTCCCCTCTCCACCCGACCGTTTTTATTACAGCATTTTGCCACCAGTGTCTAGGAGTGCCTTTCCTTTCTTATCAGATTATATTTGTAATTATTTTAGCTAGTTCTGTGCCACATTCAAGCAGTCCTCATT